TCCTTCACCTCCCTCTACCTTACTCTCTCCTCTCATTCACTCTCACATCTTCACTCCCCGCCCTTCACTTTCCCCCCTTTTCACTCTTCCCCTTATCACTCTTCCCCTTTTCACTCTCCTCCCTTTCACTCTCTCCCCCCTCACTCTCCCCTTCCTTTATTCTCCCTCCCTTTCTCCCCCTCCCCCCCACTCTCCCCCCCCTTCACTCTCCCCCCTTCACTCTCCCCATCCTTTACTCTTCCCTCCCTTCACCCCCTCCTTCACTCTCCCCCATCCTTCCTCTCCCCCCCTCACTCTTCACCCCCCTCCCCCGCTTCACTCAACCCCATCCTTCACTCTCCCCCTCCCTCACTCCCCCTCCTCACTCTCCCCCATCCTTCACCCCCCTCACTCTCCAATCCTTCACTCTCCCTCCCTTCACCCCTCACTCTCCCCCTTCACTCTCCCCTCCACTCTCCCCCATCCCACTCTCCCCATCCTTCACTTCCACCCTCACTTCTCCCCCATCCCACCCCTCCCCTCCTTCACCCTCCCTCACCCCACCCCATTCACCTTCACCTCCTCACCCCCCATCCACTCTTCCCCATCCTTCACTCTCCCCCCTCACTCTCCCCCATCCCCCTCCCCACTCTCCCCACCTTCACCCCCCCCACTTCACTCTTCACCCCCCCCCTCCCCTCCCTTTGCTTGAGCTCGAGGCGTGTCTGACGGAGTAGCGCCATCTCAAGGGCCTTCGGGAACATTGCATAATTCATGATAAGTTGACCTGCAGGGTGTATGTTGCTCTTCGGGTCCTCCCCCCCCCCTCCTCCCCTCTCTCTCTTTCTCTATCTTTCTGTCTCTGTCTCTGTCTCGCTCGCTCGCTCGCTCGCTCGCTCTTTCTCTCTCTTCTCTCTCACTGCTTCTCCCACTTTTTTTCTCCCTTCCCTCACCTCTGTCTACCCTCCTCCCTCTCACTCCTTTCCTCTCTTCCCCCTTCCCTCTCTCATCCCCTTTCTCCCTCTTCCCTCTCTCCCTCTCTCTTCCCTTCCCTCTCTCCCCCCTTCTCCCTCTCTCCTCTCCCCCTCTTCCCTTCTCCTCTCTCCACCCCTTCTCCCTCCCCCTTTCTCCTTCTCCCTTCCTTTCCTCTCCCTCTCTCCTCCCCTCTTCCCCTCTTCCCCCTCTCTCCCTCTCCCCTCTCTCCCTCTCCCTCTTCTCTCCTCCTCCTCCTGAGTGCCTCCCTCCCTCAGGAAACGGAAGCCCTCACGTATGTCAACTCGTCCGTCTTTTGTAACAGTTTTTTCCGAGATGCTGTTCGTCTTCATCACAAACTGTCCCTTCCTTTAGAGTCTTGCGCGGTCCGTAGCTTTGGGATAAATATACCCACCACTCGAGAGAGAGGTTCAAATATGTGTAGTGACTGTTTGATTGTCAAATGTGTGGCAGAGTGTGTGTGTGTGTGCGTGTGTGTGTGTGTGTGTTGTTGTACGTGTGTGTGTTTGTGTTTGTGTGTGTGTGTGTGTTTTGTTTGTGTGTTTGTGTGTGTTTGTTTGTGTGTTTTGTGTGTGTGTCTGTGTTTGTACGTGTGTGTGGGGGGGATTGTTTTATTCGTGTGTGTAAGTACGTCTGTGCGTTTTTTGGGTTGTATGAGTGTGCGTTTCTTGGTGGGAGAGAAGGAGAAGCAAGGAGAAAGATTAAGTTTAAAATGAGATGATGTTATAATCCCATTCTTGTTTAAGAGTGTGTTTGTGTTTGTTTGTTTGTGTGTGTGTGTTGTGTTTGTTTGTTTGTGAGTGTATGTGTATGCGTGTTTGTTTTTGTGCGTATGTGTGTGTGTGGATGTGTGCGTGGGTGGGTGTCTGTGTATGCGTGTTTGTTTTTTGTGCGTATGTGTGTGTGTGGATGTGTGCGTGGGTGGGTGTCTGTGTAAGCGTGTTTGTTTTGTGCGTATGTGTGTGTGTGATGTGTGCGTGGGTGGGTGTCTGTGTATGCGTGTTTGTTTTTGTGCGTATGTGTGTGTGTGGATGTGTGTGTGGGGGTGTTGTGTATGCGTGTTTGTTTTTGCGTATGTGTGGATGTGTGTGTGGGTGGGTGTGCGTGTTTGTATTTGTGTTTGAGTATGTGTGTGTGTGTTTGTGTTTAAGTTTATGTGTATATGTGTGTTTATGTGTCTGTGTGTGTCTTTCCCTTGGAATAATATTAATGTTTATCTTGATGTTTTTGCAACACAAATTAATTAAGAAGAATAGCGAAAAATTTTGTAATTTCGCTGAAGATTAATAATTCTAAAAGGAACGAAAATGAAAGATAAGTAAACGTAATGTGTCAATTGCAATATGCTAGAAAAAATTAAGAAATAAAAAGAAATACTATTTTCTGCATAAAACTGAATATAAATCACGAATTAAAAAACGAATTTATATATACAAACCTGAGAAAAAAAGAACCGAGAAAGAAAAAAAATAACGTTAGAAACAAGAATAAATGTTTAAAAAATAAAATAAAGGATTAAAGAAACGTCAATCCATATCTCGGATAAAAGGGATTCAATTCCTCTCTCAGTCACCCAGAATCCTCTATCGCATCTCATCACAAGAATCTAATTCCCCATACCCTTCTAATACCACACGATGCTCATCAAGAATCCCTTTTCGACAGTCTTCGCGAAACAAAAATTGCAGACTGCAGAAACCAATTGCAGAATGTGCAGAAACCAATTGCAGAATGTGCAGAAACCAATTGCAGAATGTGCAGAAACCAATTGCAGTGCAGAAACCAAATGTGTGCAGAAACCAATTGCAGAATGTGCAGAAACCAATGCAGAATGTGCAGAAACAGCAGAATGTGCAGAATTGTGTGCAGAAACAATTGCAGAATGTGCAGAAACCAATTGCAGAATGTGCAGAAAACCAATTGTGCAGAAACCAATTGCAGAAATGTGCAGAAACCAAATGCAGAAATGTGCAGAACCAATTGCAGAATGTGCAGAAACCCAGAATGCACAGTTGCAGCAGAAACCCAATTGCAGAATGTGCAGAAACCAATCGCAGAATGTGCATTGCAGATGTGCAGAAACCAATTGCAGAATGTGCAGAAACCAACGCAGAATGTGCAGAATTTGCAGAATGTGCAGAAACCAATTGGCAGAATGTGCAGAAACAATTGCAGAATGTGCAGAGCAGAATGCAGAAACCAATTGTGTGCAGAAACCACAGAATGTGCAGAAACCAATGCAGAATGTGCAGAAACCAATTGCAGATGCAGAAACCAAATGCAGAATGTGCAGAAACCAATCAGAATTGCAGAACCAATTGTGCAGAAACCAATTGCAGAATGTGCAGAAACCAAATGTGTGCAGAAACCAATTGCAGAATGTGCAGAAACCAATTGTGCAGAAACAATTGCAGAATGTGCAGAAACCAATTGCAGAATGTGCAGAAACCAATTGCAGAATGTGCAGAAACCAATTGCAGAATGTGCAGAAACCAATTGCAGAATGTGCAGAAACCCAATTGCAGAATGTGCAGAAACCAATCGCAGAATGTGCAGAACAATTGCAGAATGTGCAGAAACCAATTGCAGAATGCAGAATGTGCAGAAACAGAAACCATTGCAGAATGCAGAAATTGCAGAATGTGCAGAAACCAGAATGTGCAGAATTGCAGAAATGTGCAGAAACCAATTGCAGAATGTGCAGAAACCAATTGCAGAATGTGCAGCAGAATGTGCAGAAACCAATTGCAGAATGTGCAGAAAACCAATTGCAGAATGTGCAGAAACCAATTGCAGAATGTGCAGAAACCAATTGCAGAAAGTGCAGAAACCAATTGCAGAATGTGCAGAAACCAATAGCAGAAATGTGCAGAAACCAATGCAGAATGCCAGCAAATGTGCAGAAACCAGATGTGCAGAAACCAATTGCAGAATGTGCAGAAACCAATTGCAGAATGTGCAGAAAATGCAGAATGTGCCAGAATGCAGAATGCAGAAACCAGAGAATGTGCTAAGCAGAAAATTGCAGAATGTGCAGAAACAATTGCAGAATGTGCAGAAACCAATTGCAGAATGTGCAGAAACCAATTGCAGAATGTGCAGAAACAAATTTGCAGAATGTGCAGAAACCAATTGCAGAATGTGCAAAACCAATTGCAGAATGTGCAGAAACCAATTGCAGAATGTGCAGAAACCAATTGCAGAATGTGCAGAAACCAATTGCAGAATGTGCAGAAACCAATTGCAGAATGTGCAGAAACCAAATGCAGAATGTGCAGAAACCAATTGGCAGAATGTTGCCCAATTGCAGAATGTGCAGAAACCAATTGCAGAATGTGCAGAAACCAATTGCAGAATGTGCAGAAACCAGAAAGAAAACCAGAATGTGCAGAATGCAATGTGCAGAAACCAATAGCAGAATGTGCAGAAACCAATTGCAGAATGTGCAGAAACCAATTGCAGAATTGTGCAGAAACCAATTGCAGAATGTGCAGAAAGCAAATTGCAGAATGTGCAGAAACCAATGTGCAAGAAATGACTCGATAGCAGAGACGTCACAATGGAGAGGTATTCGCCTTTCTGTTCTGACATGACCTGTCAGTTGGCAGACGAGTTTCAGAGTTCTCGGTCTGCCGAAGAGGGAGAGGGAGAGAGAGAAAGAGAAAAGGAGGGAGAGGGAAAGAGGAGGGGGAAGGGAGGGAGAGAGGGAGAGGAAAAAGAGGATAGGGAAGAGAGAGAGAGAAAAAGAGGGAGAAGGGGCGAAGGGAGGGAGAGATGGAGAGAAGGAGGGAGAGAGAGAAAGAGAAAATGAGGGAGAGGGAAAGAGAAGGTGGGAAGGGAGGGAGAGAGGGAGAGAAGGGAGGAGAGAAAAAGAGGGAGAGAAAGAAAGAGAAAACGAGAGAGAGGGAAAGAGAAGGGGGGAAAGGAGGGAGAGAGGGGAGAGAAGGAGGGTGGAATTGAGGGAGAGGGGGAGAGAGAAAGAGAAAACGAGGGAGAGGGAAAGAGAAGGGGGGAAGGGAGGGAGAGAG